TAATAACCTTGTCATTGAGTTGCATAGCGTGTTTCTTATGCCTCCGTACATCCATCCATCCATACGGCCCATTCTTCTGAACGTGATATCTCAGGAACACCTTAAGGGAACTTCTTCAAATTTCACACAAATATCTACTTGGACTCGATGAACTCATTAGATTCTGGTGGGCAAAGGTCAAGGTCAGTGACCTCATGTCTGTCCTATACCCATGAATTTGACTGGTTGGAGGAGGCATACAACCGTGAAGCTGTAATTCTAGTTTTGTTTTTGTTTGGGTTTTTTTGTCTTCATGGTGCAGTTTGTGGCCAGATACTGATTCGCCAGTAACTGGACCTTCCAGATGCTGGTGTATTTGTCAGAATCAGAATCAGAATCAGAATCAGCTTTATTGGCCAGGTGTGTTGGACACGAGGAATATGACACTAGTATAGCGGCTCTCAATGTGTATGTACATATCCTTATGTAAGGCAATAGCAAGGGGCAAGTAAACAATAAAGCAATATAGGGCTGGGCTGTATAGTATAACAAAATAAACAGTATAAACAAAGAAATAAGCAATGCAAACAGACAAAGGAATGTTCTTTAGGAAACAAGATAAAAATAAGAATAAAAATAGAGTGCTTAAAAACAGAGACCTGTACAGATCTGTATAATCTGTACAATGTATATTTACCGGTATTGCACTGAGGGTTTTTGTCCAGTCATACTGTGTGTGCAGTTATTTTCTTGAATCTGTTTAGATTTCATGTATTTTTTAAGTCTGTTTTTATTAAAGTCTATTACGTAAGATCTTCTTGAATTTCGAAATGCATAATTCCTTACCTCTGTTCAAAGAATACAGTTTATATTTTAAATATCTATATCAACAACTTAATAGCACAGTGAGAGAATTAAAGGTTTACTGTATGTTTTAAGAATGGCCAAATGCTCATATACTGTACATACAGTACAACATATCCATTGTCAACAGGCCTTTGTCACTTTTGGCTTTTCCCTTTTAGGGGTTGCCACAGCGAATCGTTACACTGACGACTCACATGTTGACATATGGCATGTGTTTTACGCCGGATGCCCTTCCTGATTTGTGCTCTTTAGAAATCTATGACACCGAAGGCCAAATGAATTTTTTAAACTATGAAATTTACGGCCAGGTCTGAACACTTTTGGAAATGAGAAATTTCAGTTTTTGATTTTTAATAAATTAGCATAAAATCTATAATACAACTTGTGCAAAAAAAGAAGGGGTCAGTCTTTGATGCCACTCTACAGTATATTTAAATTACTACTTTAGGGATGAGTGAATAGCCATAAACTGCATGTTGCCTACTGTTCTGAGCCCATAGCCAGCCTGTACTTTTCACAGCTGATTACCTCTAAAGAACTTGAGCCTGCATGGTAATTTTATAAATGGCAGAGAACTTTATGGAAGTTATCTACTGACAAGGTGGCAAAGACATTATATTAATGATTCCTTGGAGCCCACAGTAGAGGATATGCATGCAGCTCGATACATACCACACTAGTATGTCTGTATATGTGGACACAGAGAGGCCATTGGCATGCTTATAGGCAGGGACAGTCAACCAGTTATAAATGAGCTATACAGACATTGGCATCAATGAAATTTAAATTTCACAGACTATTACAGTTACATATTTGCACAATGTACAGATTTGCCTTTATGTGTCAAAACATTCTGCTAACACTAGCATCCTAATCAATATATTTATAAATACTAATACGTGTTCTAACAGTTAGTTTGCAATGAATACTGTAAGTTGCTTGTTCCCTGTACTCCTGTACTCGCTTTCCCTCAACATGCCTTGTATATTTATACTTCTGCCTGTGATTTTTCCATAATGTCTATGGGCATACATCTGTATAACTGCTTCATTAACTGGCTTAAAGTCAATTTAAAAAAATGGCTATCATGATTTTTTTTTTTACTTTGAAAGAAGAAGACTGTCATTTTCAGGGCTCCAACTAATGACCACTTTCTTTATCAATGACAGTTTATTTATTGGGTCTAAAATATGTCAGAAATATTTTTTTAAATGCACAATAATTTTCATAATGCCCAAGGTAATGTCATCAAATGTCTTGTTTTGTCCATCCTGGAAGACCTACACACTAATTAGTAAACAAAAAGTAATTAGCAAAAAAAAAAAGAAAAAAAGATGCTGACATGGACATTTGGGTGATAACATACAGGAATATCTGAGGTGCTCTGCTTTTAAAACAGAAAGCAGTAAAGCACACAACAACTTATTCTTATTAGTGTTTGTTATAAGTGTTACATATGAGTTTAATGTAGGGTGGAGCGACAGTGTGTTCCTGAGGCTGAAAGAAATCACAGCAGACTTAAACTGTAGCTACAGAAGACAAAAGCAGTCCATCTGTACTCTGCAGCGCATGTTCCTCCGTTCTTTTGGCAGACTTGCGAGTGCTCCTGTGCTTGTTCTGTGATACACTCTAATTGGCTGTGAATGGCCCCTTGGTTCACTCAGGGCAGCTTCTGATGAGTCTGGAAGACTGGTTGCTTAAGTGGCTTTTGAGTTAAGCTCTTCATGAGAAACTGAAAGCAGCTCGGCTGCTCCACTGAGAGATAAACACAGGGTGACACGCCAACAGGACCATGAGCAGGGGATGCAGAAACAAAAGCTCAGTAACGCTGCAGTCAAATGTGGCAGGTCAGAGGGCACGATGACTTCATCTGACACAAAGCCTTTTAATATTACATCATTTCAAAGCATGATGCTTGTACCGATATATACACTCAGTCATCATATCATAAGGCAGACAAAACTCAAACTAATGTAGTCTAATGCAATCTAAGCCAAGAGCTCTGGGCCTTTCGGTGTGAATAGTGCTAGTCCAAAATGAACACCTCATTATGTCTACTAGTATTTTTTTGCAAGTTAGATACAAATCAAGTTTATACTGGTACTTACTGACTCCAGGAAATAGCCATATGTTAATAGCCAAATCTAGAAATTAAAGCATTTTGACTTTAAATACATCTTAAAAACTCACTTTAGTACTGTGTTACAAAGTTTAGCGCTAAGCAGTATAGTAGGAAACTGACACATTTTCAGTGAACAGAGAGCAAGGGAGCGAGACTCGCCTGTTTCGTCGATATACCAGAGTGACATAGTACAACCCGTGCCCGTTAGCTTGCTAACCTGTGGATATTGTTTTCCCCTCGGGGGATTACTGTAGCTGTATGTGTTTGCTGCAGACACCGTTCAGTAATAAACTCATACTGTAACACCATCAATCATCACAGCATCTATCACAGATGTGTCCTCCCAGTCACTGACCTATCGTCTCTCTCTTCAGTCCTCTCTTTAGATTAAAACAATTACACTGCAGGTGAAATCAGCAGTATAAAGACACTAAGTGTGGAGCGGCTTTAGTGACGCCTCACCTCTATAACTTTATAATAATTAGGAGGCAAGTCTCCTCTGTGGATTAAATCAGCACCATGCATTAATTCTAATCAGCATGTGTAGCCAGGCTTGTCCAACAGGGCCCAAGGGGTTGTACACCGTGTCTGTGTGTGTCTCTGTTTGTGTGTCACATAGATAAGGCCAGCCATGCTGAACCATGCTCTTTAAGGGTCACTGCAGCGCTCAGGCTGCAGCAGAGCTCTCCCTGCACTCTTTGTCGGAGCAGGTAGTCTCTGACCTTTCCAGCAGTGTGTCCTGAGTAAACCTGACTGAACTGTGGCCTTTTAACAAACACCAACACAAATCACTCAGTGCAGATCAGCTGGCGCTTACTGCCATGAACTTTGTCCTGTGAGCAGGAGTTCCCCTACAAAGGTGTGACTGTTTAGTGGATTTTATGGTGCATTCTATGTTTTTGCAGGTTTAAGTTTTCTTCAAGAGCTGTGAAGTGTCAAAAAATTAACTATTGGTCAGACACTGGATTTGAAACCCAGAACAACAACAACAACAACACAAAAACCATATAAGATGCTAATAAATACTTAGAGCGCATGTAAGGGGGCTTCAGCTATACTGTCTGTGTTCAGCTCTCAGTACTTTCATAGCTTACAAATTAATCTTAGTGGTCTGGCATTTACTTTCATGCTTTCAAATCTCAGTCTTATTTTACAGTTTGTTGATCAGTTTATTGAAACTGTAGTAGAATTCATGTTCATCTACCAAAAAAACTCCCTGCTGTGTTTTAACGCCAAGGGCGGCACTGGTCAGAGGAATGAGGGGTTGCAGGAGGAGTGTTGTAAGCATGTACAATGTTGGAATGAGTCCACATGAGTTAATGTTTTCAGCCTATTAGCTTCCGGTGTGTTTTGATTAACCATGCTGCTAACGTAGCCTACCCTACCTTAACACCAATTCTACCACCAGTTTGTTGGCACTGATAGATAAAAACACCGTTTAACATCCAGTACACTACCTAATGAAAGCACATGGCGTGTTGTTATGGTCTGTGAACTGTGACCCAAATTCAACAGTGAACAGCAGCAAATGCTCATGCTAAGAAAATAAACAAAAGTTTCTTCATATGGGCTTTGATATTGCGTTTGTGTCCCCCATATGTGATCGGTCAACAGAGCGCATTTGCTGGATGATGTCACTGTCTGGTGTGACAAACGTTGAACCAGATCCAACTTTTTCATGGCATAGGGTTGCATTGTTTTTCTGGAGCTTCCTAAGGTGCTGGTGTCAGCTGCAGTGAACGCAATCCCCCATAGAAATGAATGGAGAGGGCTGCGTTTTTTCAAACTTTTGAAACTCAGTCTGAACATGGCCTTACTGCCAGTGTATGCCCAGCATTTCCTGCAGCTAGTGAGCTGTCAGAATGGCAGTTTGTGCAATCCAGTGAGTATCTTACTCAGTATCAAGGTAAACAACTCCTGCCAACTTGCTATGCTATAGAAAACACACTATGAATGATTGCAGTTGCTCATGGTTTGTTTCAGTGCATATATCTACACTCTATAGAAAAAAATGCCAAAGGCGCTTATCTACCTTGGAAATGAGCACCCCGTATTCTTCTGTGCCATACTCCACATGCTTGAAAGCAGTCAGGTAATCGTAGCTGATGACCGCCGTCTGCAAACAAACAGAACCGCAGCATTTAAAGCAGGTACAAAATAAGCTAACACATTTAAGGTCCGAGCCACACTATGAAATAATACTGACATTATCAGCTATAAAGTGTTGTTATGCATGAGGCCACTGTGAAGCAACTGTGTTGGAAATGGTTCACTGTTTGAAAGCATTTGATATAGTCACAAATACCCGTATTGTATTTATAAGAATACACTGCATTTGAGACCATAATGAAACAGGCAGTTATACTAGAAGTGGTCTTAATATTTAAAAACAGAGAACGCATTAAGATATGTAAACATAACCAATCAAAATATTAAACATGACACTAAAGCTACAAGCAAGAGTGAGAACATAAAAAAGGTATGAGGATAACAAGTGTATCTGACCAAAATGTTGTATTTATAAGCCAAATAACAGTGGACTAAATTAATACATACTGTTAATGTTGGCATCAATTGCTGTTAAAAACTTTATTTTAATCCCAATTTGGACGCATCAATGTGTCTATTTGTCATTGTTGTCACTGTAGGTGAAAATGACTCTTCAGATCCATAAAAAAACTCTCCTTTATAGAAAACATTTGTCCCTCAGTCCCTGGGTGAGGACCTTGGGCATCCAACATCAGGACCATCGTCAAGAAGGCATAGCAGAGGATGTACTTTCTGCGCCAGCTCAGGAAGTTCGACCTGCCCCAGGAGCTGCTGATACAGTTCTACAGAGGAATCATCAAGTCCGTTCTCTGCACCTCCATCACTGTCTGATTTGTCTCAGCAACCATACAGGACAAGTACAGACTTCAACAGACAGTCAGGACTGCAGAAAAGGTCATTGGTGTGAGCCTGCCCTCCATGGAGGACCTGTACACCTCACAGGTCAAAAGGAGGGCAGAGAGGATCACTGCTGACCCCTCACACCCTGGACACAAACTGTTTGAACTCCTCCCCTCCGAACGACGCTACAGGTCAGTGTGCACCAAGGCAACCAGGCACCGGGACAGTTTCTTTCCCTGGGCCATCACTCTGATGAACACTTGACCCACGACAGTATGACTGGACAATGCAGTGCAATACCTGTAAATATACCTTGTACAGATTATACGGATTCGTAGTTCTATAGTTTTAAGTACTCTTTTTTTTTTATTCATACTTACAGTGGGTACGGAAAGTATTCAGAGCCCCTTAAATTTTTCACTCTGTTATATTGCAGCCATATGCTAAAATCATTTAAGTTCATTTTTTTCCTCATTAATGTACACACAGCACCCCATATTGACAGAAAAACACAGAATTTTTGACCTTTTTGCAGATTTATTAAAAAAGAAAAACTGAAATATCACATGGTCATAAGTATTCAGACCCTTTGCT